CATGGAGGCCCACAGATTCACCTGACCTTCTTCTTATGACAGAGTGTAACCATGAATTTCCAGAAGTGGCATCTTGCACGAGTCCACCTTCCTGTTTCTCAGTATCCTCTGATCTAGCATTTTCTGTGATTCCAGAGAAACAAATATCTTCGCGTCCTTGAGGTAAGGTGCCTGCCCAGCTGTGTGAACCCACACAGAAGGGAGACGGTGGTCTCAGAGATGTTTTAAACCCCGAGGAAGACCATAAAGGTAGAAAATGCCTTGAGTAATAATTCTTGGGTTGAAAAAAATCCAAAACACTGCAATCATTTTAATCTGCCTGGTCTTTTTTTTTTTTTTTTTTTTGTAGTTTTTGGCTAGGGCTGGGTTTTGAACCCACCATCTCCAGTATATGGGGCCAATGCCCTACTCCTTTGAGCCAAATCTGCCTGGTCTTTACATAAGATGAACTCCAGACTGCACTCTCTAAAGCCCAGAATAAGGATATTTTAGGAAGAAGAAACAACACAATTGTGGTGGAGAAATCTCGGTGTGATTCTAGCATATCAGGAGAAAAGACACCGGGTTAGTTATGGACTTTCTTTCTCTTGGTGTCTCTATCTGGGTGGGGCATCTGGTTAGATGGGGTGGGAGGGAGACAGAATACTGCAGGACATTTAAATTAGAAATGTGTATACACACCACACACTATGCCGAGGGCTTGTCCACAAAGACTGCTGAAAGGATGAGAAGGGAGCTGAGGCCTCCCCTGTTAGGTGACTTGCTGGGATGGGGGTGTTCAGCTTATCGAGGGCCAGGGAGCCTCCAGGGCCAGCAGCTCTGACCTCGGGCTCCGGGGGAAGGAGTGGGAGTCTGTCCCTCTGGAGGGCGATGGTAGGAGAGCAGTTCCAGGTGTTGGGAGGCTACGGCTCATGATCTTGTGTCTATGAGCACATCATTGCTTTCATGGCAAGTTCAAGTTCAAATGACCTACACAAAGAGCCTGCAAGGCTCACCCAGGGCATGGTGCCAATCAAAATAGGAACTAGGAGGAGGACGTGGATCTTCTGTTTCCAAAGTTGATGCCCCTTCCTTCTTGTGCCTCCTCCCTGGTCGGCAGATGGGGTGCGAGTTTGCACCTGAATATCCGTGATGATGAGGGAGCAGGCCCCTGAAGCGTGAATGATGGCTGGTGCTAGCACCTCTTAGGGACGACAGAGAAGTGAGCAGCTCAATAAACGACTTCTGCGTCCTCCAAACTGTGCAATTTCTTTTTAGGAGCTAGTTTTGAGTTCTTTTATTTAACCAGAGTTTCACAACTTTCATAACACCCAGTATTCTAATCCCTACAGAATGTAGTCACTGCCCTGGAATTGTTAAGAAAATCTTGATAGAGAGTGAAAAAAACAACAAAAACCCCAAACCTCACGGAGTGTGTTCTCAGGGAAAGCCACTCTTGGGTTCACCATTCTGTCACCTCAGTGACGATTAACAGGGCCAATTAGTAAAAAGTCCTCAAACAAAGTGCACTGTTTTTGTGGAAAATAAAAATGGGAGACTGAAATCAGACTTAACAAGCTCCGGCCCTGAGAAAGTGGCCCTTAGACCTGGGGCCTTGCCCTGGAGTGTCCTGCATTTGTTGATACTTTTTAACGCATGTGCTGCCCTCAGCAGGGTGAAGAGCTTGTTTGTACTACGATTTCAGAAAAAAGAAGAGCGAAGGAAAAGCATCTGAAGACTGTTTCCATGACCCTTCTGTTTTTGGCTGAGGGATCCTTGTCTCCAGTTCTCCATTTTCTCACATTGGGAAACAGATAACACTCCCTATGCTGGGCGTGGTGGGTTGCTGTCAAACTCAAGGAGATAGAGTGGGAGAAAGCTCCTTCTAATTTGTAAAATGTGGTGCAGTGAGAGCGATTGCCGTATCTCTCCTGTTCATAGTTGCTGATGTGCTTGTTTTATGATATAAGCATCATTCATTCATTCTGTGAGTATTTGCTCTCTCTGATTTTGATTTAGGACACTGAGTAGACAGCCCGGCAGAGATACCCAGACGGTGGTGAGGGAACAAGATGCGCCTGGTTGTGGTAAGCGCTTCCGAGTGTGGGGGGCAAGGTGGCAGGGTCGGGATGAGAACTCTGGGAGGGGCTTTGTATAGAGCAGTTATTATGGACCAAAGGGTGTCCTGTCAGGGGACTACTTTGGATATAGGGTGGATGCAGGTGCAGTTAGTTAAGGTGACAACTGGGGAGGGCCAGCCTGTGATCCGGTGTGACTGGCACCTGCGTGGGAAGACTCCCACAGCAGGCAGCAACAGAGGGAGAGGCCACGCAGTGCTGAAGGCAGAGAGCAGAGCCACCTGGCAAGGTCAGGAGCTGGAGGAGGCAGGAAGGACCTTCCCTCTGCCTTCTAAGGGAGCAGAGCCCTGCCGACACCTAAATTTGGTTTTTGGCCTTCAGGACTGAGACAGGATACGTTTTGGTTGTTGGCAGGGCTAGGAGCTACCAAGTGGCCCAGGAGGGTCCCTGCAGGTGTGATGTTCTGTCTGCGGGTGGACCAACGAGGGAGGGAGGTGTGTGGATCAGAGAAGAGTGTCCCTTCCACGTGGGCACAAGCCGTCCCTGCCTCACAGCAGGAGGGGCAGTAGGGGGAGGCAGAACCAGAAGGCAGGACCTGGTAAGGCAGGAGGATGAGCTGGGAAGTCCTGGGAGTGCGGGGAGGAGGTGGATGGCAGCGACACACACCTGGTCACGTGACATCAAATGATTCCCAGGCATTCTGTGGCTTTAAAACTCTGAGATGGACAGGTCAAAGTATATTTTATAGCTGTGTGACATTACATTTGCTGTTTCTATTCAACAGACTTAAAAATGCTTCATCAGAACTTTTAAACCACCCAACAGTCTCTGTCTAATGCACATTTTGACTAAGACAGAAACTTTGCTCCTGGATCAAAAGTCAGAATTCAAACTTTTGGCAACACGGTATCACAGTATTTTATTTCTGCTATCTGACAACAGAAGTATTTATGCAGTATTAAGTGGTACAGGTTAGAGAAAAATGTAAATTCTTTATCTTTTTGCTAATTCAAGGTCACTAGCTTAATCCTATTTTTTTTGTTTATTACTTTGGGCATATTTTTGCATTAAGTATACCTATTCTAATTTTAGACCATGATAGATTTAGGTCAAAATAATAAATACATAGGGTTCCGAGGACAAATTCTGCTTTTCCTCTGAGAGCTACAGAGAAAAAGTAGCTGAGAAATCAAAGAGCAAGTTCCTGTGTGTTTCATGGCCGTCCTGGGGATCGAGGTGGTCTATCAGAGCACACACCCTCATTGGTTAACTGATTATTCCTTAATTTACCCAGCGTTTGCTCACTGCTTGGTGCCGAGGGTGCAGTTCTGTCAGCCTGATCTGAAAACGGGCACAGAACCCGGGTGAATCACCACAGCACCAACGTGGCACCAGCACTGTGCCTGGTATATAACAGACAAGAACATTCCACACTCTAGCTTCTTACCCAGAATGCCATTTTAGGCATTCGGTATAAAAGTTAGCTGATGCACAAACAAATAGGATAAACATTAAGTGAATTTTAAAGTCTGGAAGTAATGAGCACATCTTCAGGCAATGTCCTTTCTAAAAAAATCAGAAATATCTCTCTGAAAATTAGCTCTGGGTCTGAGTTAAATCAGCTACCTTTGATTGAAATAGCGTCCTGTCCGGATTTTTGCTTCTTTTTTACTTATAAATATGCAAGTATTTTTATAGCTGGTAACTTGAAGTGCTGTACTTATTAGTGAACCTCTGTTTGGTTACCAAAGCCAAAATAATAACACGTCCAGCTTTGAATGCCAAGCACAAATGATCCTTTGTTCTAATTTTTGAAATATGTGGATGGCAACAGCACTCTTGGGGATGACAGGGCACAGCAGATTAAAAGCCCGTTAAACGTTATTTCCAGCTTGGTGGAGCGCCAACTGCTACGTTACCCTTTGGCTCCACTTCTGGTGAAGTGTGGCAGACTTCCTGCAGCCAGGTGACAGTACTGAATCACTGATGTGCCGTTCCAGAACGAGGAGATAATCGTGCAAACACACGGGATTAGGCTCACTATCCAGTTCCTGCACAGAAAATTAAAGCGAAGCCTAAGGGTGAGCTGAGGGACCCCTGACCTTCCAAATGCCTGCCACAGGCTCTAAACCACCTGAAATAAATGTATAATCTAGTGGAAATCTACCCTGTAGGTCAGTGCAGCTTCAAGATGATCCACCCCACCCAGACTATGATCTCTCCTACATTGAAATTCTGAAGTTGTGTCTTGCTAAACACCTAAAAAGGTTTAAATGCGTAATGATTTTCTAGGCTTTCTCTTTATTTCTATTTTAAATTCTCAACTAAACTGTAGGTATAATTTATATTTTTCTGAGTAGAAATTCTTGGATCATATGCTAACTTTAAATAGATTCTGGTTAAAATAATTTTCAGACACTATCTACATGGTTTGGCTGATTTGGAAATTACTTTCCATTATACATGGTAGAAATGAGAGATCTGGACTTCTTTAAATCCACTACAAAATCATTCTTGCAAGAATATTTCCTCAGTTACGGCACATGGCTTTAAAAGAATTACCAACAAAAAGGAACTAGTTAGAAGATTTGTGCTGGAGGGATCAAAAGAATTGTTTAGCAAATCTGTAAAATTCATACAAACAGTTCACCTGCACATTATTTTCAACCCCTGAGCACTCCTGTATCGGTAAAAACCAAAGGAGAGCTCATAAAATTCATATCAAACAGTTCACCTGCACCTGAGGTGCAACCCCTGAGAGGTTTCAACCCCTGAGCACTCCTGTATTGGTAGAAACCAAAGGAGAGCTCATAAGTTGTGAATTCAATAAAAAGTATCTTAGAAATTATTTTGCAGTCTCTGAGATGTATGAGCTTTAGATTAGCTGGAGAAATATTCCACATCATGGAGTTAGAATCTGATGAAAAGTACAGACCTTCCTACTAATTACGGCTGTCATCATCCACATGATATCATCGTGCTCATAAATATCATCATCATCACCACCGTCATCATCGCTGTCATCAACATCATCACCACTGTCATGAACATCACTATTGTTATCACAACCACCATCACCACCATCATGGTCATCACCACCACCGTCATCATCGCTGTCATCAACATCATCACCATTGTCATGAACATCACTATTGTTACAACCACCATCTCCACCATCATCATCACCACCACCGTCATCATTGCTGTCATCAACATCATCACCACTGTCATGAACATCACTTGTTATCACAACCACCATCACCACCATCATGGTCATCACCACCATCACCACCATCATGGTCATCACCACCATCACCACCATCATGGTCATCACCACCACCGTCATCATCGCTGTCATCACCATCATCACCATTGTCATGAACATCACTATTATTAGAACCACCATCTCCACCATCGTCATCACCACCACCGTCATCATCACTGTCATCACCATCATCATCACTGTCATGAACATCACTATTGTTATCACAACCACCATCACCACCATCATGGTCATCACCATCATCATCACCACCACTGTCATCATCACTGTCATGAACATCCATCACTGTCACGAACATCACTATTGTTAGCACAAACACCACCGTCATCATTACTGTCATCAACATCACTATCAACATCATCACCATTGTCATGAACATCACTATTGTTATCACAACCACCATCACCACCATAGTCATCACCACCACCGTCATCATCGCTGTCATCAACATCATCACCATTGTCATGAACATCACTATTGTTATCACAACCACCATCACCACCATCATGGTCATCACCATCGTCATCACCACCACTGTCATCATTGCTGTCATCACCATCATCACCATTGTCATGAACATCACTTGTTATCACAACCACCATCACCACCATCGTCATCACCACCACTGTCATCATCGCTGTCATCAGCATCATCACCACTGTCATGAACATCACTATT